CCTTGGACGGATTTAAATGTCTTCTCAAGTATCTATCTGAGGAGCAGCACAAATTTTTTACTAACGACACCAAAACTGAACGTGTGTTCAAGGTTGTCATGAAAAGACTGCCCAGTAGTGAATCCTTGGATCAGATCAAAGATGAACTGGCAAAATTACTTGGAGTTATGCCACTCCAAGTAATCAAAATGAAAATTAAATCCCGTCCTGGCGATTCGCGCAACGGAATTTCTAATGATTTTTATTTAGTTCACTTCAAGTCTAGTGAACTAAACAACCTTAAGGCCTTAGAAAAAGCTAGCCTTATGCTCCATGTCCGAGTGAAGTGAGAACACTTCAGGAAAACTGGAGGAAATTTCCAAAACCTCACCCAGGGCCGTAAGTGCCAGGGATGGGGTCACGGAACTAAAAATTGCTACATGCCAGCTAAATGCATGAATTGTGGTGATTCCTCTCACGCAAAGGACGACTGTCCTGTGAAGGAAGATCCTAAGAAATTTAAATGTTCAAATTGTGGTGAAAACCACAAATCCAATTTTTGGGAATGCGATCCTACAATCTCGTTCTAAACTACAGGTAGGAAACGCTCCACGTTTCCGACCAGGTACAAATTCCTCTGCTGTTAACAACGGTCAGCGAGGAACAAATTCTACATTCGTATCCGTAGGTACAAATATCACCCCTGCTTCAAAATGTTCATATGTACCTACTCCCCTCGCTGCTAATACTGTTCAGCGAGTTAATGGAGCTACCTATGCTGCTATTGCAACGGGTAGAAATCAAAATACTAATCAACGTAATTCTAACGGAAATTTTGGAAATTTTGACTTAGGAAGCATTACTGCCCCTAAAGTGGAATTTTTACAGAAATCATTAATTGACATGATTTCTGATATGCTTAAATCTAACTCCATGTTTGATGCTATTCAAACTGGAGTAAAATTTGCAAATAATATTGTCATGACATTAAAATTCAGTAATGGATTTTAAAGCATTAAATATTGTAAATTGGAATGCTCGATCTCTTATAGATAATTTTTTTTTTTTGTTTATTAATTTATTTGATAAGGCTCAACCGAATTAACTTTACAGAGCCGAGGATTCTTGGTCACTATACAATACATCTTAAAACTATAGTCAAAAGGTACAACACAATAAACACTTTATCTTCCGCTATCCAAAAAGCTTCTTCCATCAGAACTGGAGCCGCTTCCAGTAGTTTCATTGTATGGCAAATTGTTGTACGCCAACGAGGGTCAGAGCGCGTCCATTGCAGCAATGGACGCAAAACGTGGTCAGCACTCACACACTCATCACGAAACGGTTGCTTTCCAAAGTCGACGACGCATCGACCGAAAGAACTGCTGATGAAGAACAATGAGGAGGACCACACAATGGTTGCTGCCGAGAAAACAGACGATCGCGTAGCACACATCGAGAGTGGCCTGCTTTTGTCGACAGTCGAGTGAACACTGACTTAAAGATAATGAAGACGAGCTATTTAACTTTTTGAGAGTTCATAACGTGCATATTACCGTTATAACTGAAACGTTCCTTAAACCTGACCATAAGGTTAAGAAGGACGCAAATTATTTGGTTTATAGAAATGATCGTCTTGATGGACCCTGTGGTGGCGTTGCCATAATTGTTCATAGACGAATCAAACATAAAATTTTTTCTTCATTTGAAACCAAAGTTTTTGAAACTTTGGGAGTTTCGGTTGAAACAAAATTTGGACAACTTACGTTTATAGCTGCCTATTTGCCATTTCAATGCGTAAGCCAGCAAAAGAATTTTCTCAAGGATGACCTTCAGAAACTTACCCGTCATAGGTCTAAATTCTTTATTATTGGTGATTTTAATGCAAAACACCGCTCATGGAATAATGCTCAAAGCAATTCCAATGGTAATATTCTGTTTGATGATTGTTCTGCAGGTTATTACACTATTCAATATCCAAACAGCCCAACATGCTTTTCTTCTGCAAGAAATCCCTCCACTATTGATTTGGTCTTAACTGATTCATGTCAACTTTGTAGCCAATTGGTTACCTACGCTGACTTCGGTTCTGATCACCTTCCAGTAACTTTTGAAATATCCCAAGAAATAATTTGTAATCCCAACACCTTTTTTTAAACTACCATAGAGCTGATTGGGAGCAGTATCGAACATTTATGGAATATAACTTCGATCCAAACATTCCTTTGCAAACCAAAGATGAAATTAATTATGCTCTTGAATCTCTGACTACTTCTATAGTTGAAGCAAGAGCTGCCTCAGTACCAAAATGCGAGGTTAAATTCGATTCAATTATAATAGACGACGATCTTCAGCTCTTGATCCGTCTTAAAAATGTCCGTAGGAGACAATATCGAAGAACACGCGATCCTGCCATGAAAGTTATCTGGCGGGATTTGCAAAAACAAATTAAAAAGCGATTCTCTGCCCTGAGGAACAAAACTTTTGACAATTTCCAAGCCCTTTTGGAAGCTCACTAAATTTTTGAAAAAACCTCAAAAGCCTATTCCAGTACTAAAAAGCTCAGAAACTTACTGAGCAATTCGAGAGTTCCCATATTTTCAGTTTGGGTCTTACTATACTAGTCCTATTGAGAATCAGGTTGCTCGGGATTATCTGAATATTTTCTCTCGGGAAAATATTTTTGATGATTCCTGGGGATTTGGACTGATTTGGACGAATTAAGATTTATAACTAAAAAGTTTCAAAATATGAAAGCTCCAGGTGATGATGGAATTTTCTATATCCTCATCAAAAAAAACTCCCAGAGAGTACCTTGTCTTTCTTGATAAAATTATTTAACAGATGTTTCCATTTGACATACTTTCCTGATAAATGGAAAAATGCAAAAGTTGTTCCAATTTTGAAGCCGGATAAATATCCAGCTGAAGCTTCTAGCTACCGTCCAATAAGTTTGCTTTCTTCAATAAGTGAACTTTTTGAAAAGATAATTTTAAATAGAATGATGCTTCACATCAATACGAACTCAATTTTTGCAGATGAGCAGTTTGGATTTCGCCATGGGCATTCAACTGCTCATCAACTCTTAAGAGTTACCAATTTAATTCGTTCAAACAAATCTGAAGGCCACTCAACTGGAGTTGCTCTTCTAGACATAGAAAAAGCATTCGACAGTGTTTGGCATGAAGGTTTGATTGCTAAATTGAAAATTTTTAATTTTCCGCTTTACATTATGAAATTAGTTCAAAATTATTTAACTGACAGAACTCTACAGGTAGATTATCAAAATTCCAAATCTAATCGACTACCTGTTAGAGCAGGAGTTCCTCAGGGTAGCATTCTTGGGCCTATATTGTATAACATTTTCACTTCGGACCTCCCTGATTTGCCTCAGGCTTACCACAAATCTTTGTTGCTGATGACACAGGCATTTCCGCTAAAGGAAGAAGTCTTCGTGTTATTTGCAACAGACTGCAGAAAAGTTTAGATATTTTCTCTTCTTATTTACAAAAATGGAAGATTTCTCCAAACGCTTCCAAAACTCAACTTATAATATTTCCACATAAGCCTAGAGCTTTGTTTTTGAAACCTAGTAGTAGTCACAAAGTCACTATGAATGGAGTTCCAATTTCCTGGTGAAACCAAGTGAAATATCTTGGATTAGTTCTTGACCAAAAATTAACTTCTAAAGATCACATTGAGGGCATTCAAGCCAAATGTAACAAATATATAAAATCTTTGAATCCTCTTATAAACAGGAAATTCAAACTTTGCCTGACGAATAAACTTCTAATATTTAAACAAGTTTTTAGACCGGCCATGGTCTAGTTGTTGCACTATTAGGAAAAAAGCTCGTCAAAGGATTCAGAACAAAGTTCTGAAAATGATTTTGTAGTTGCCTCCCTGGTACAGTACTACCGAAGTACATAGAACTTCGAATGTTGAGACTTTAGAACAAATGTTCAACAAAATAATTAATAATTTCAGGCAAAAATCGTTGCAATCCTCAATTGCAACGAATAATTCCCTTTATACTTAGATAAGATTTAGTTTTAGTTTTTAGTTTTAAGATTTCAATTGTTATACTAACATGCAGGTTTTTGAAAAACCTGTTTAAAATACTGAATTGCCAAGGCAGGAACAATGTAAAAACACTTAGCTATATATCATAACAATTAAAGCTGGTAAGTTACCAAAACCAATGAAAGTAGGATTGGATGTTTATAGCCATACAAAACAGGTGTCACTTCAAGGTCCCCCCCCCCCCCCACCTCTGTTCGGGACATAACACCATTGCGACCAGTAATTTGATCTATTGTAGTATATTCCGTGTTCTTAGTTTAGTGCATGTCATATTACTCCATCAGGTATATACAGTTACAGTTGCCTTCATCGCATCGATTCGATTCTAATTGAAATGTCCCGCTATTTATACCCTTCGGAGTGTTAGAACACCGTCCAAAGGCGCACCCCTCTGTCAGTCAAAATTGGATTCCTTAGCAATTAAATAATGCAATGACACCGATAATGACCATCCATCAGAACCTTAGTCTTAACCACTTCAAACTAGAGAACAACGAATAAAAGATTAAGAATCACATAGATGAAGACTAACTTACTAACTTTTTTCCTTGTTTCAAGAGCATCCTCGGTCATGGCAACCCGAGGACTTATCACTATTAACAAGACATAAAAAGTAGCAAGGACTAAGATGTGCCCCTTTGATAACTGAAAAATCCTGTTCCCGTTGTGTGAAGCAGCAATTGGTGGTAGATTTTACATCCCGTAACAAACCACGAAAAGGTGACCTACCCACGTTACGGGGCCACTTCTAGTTTACAATAAGGAGGATTAATACAGCAAAGTAGATTTAACCCGTGTGCTGCATCTGCTGCTGATGCGTTACATTGTAGCTATGATGATATTGCTAGCTAATTATTCTCAAGAAATACTAATAAATTGTAATGCACTTGAGCGTACTTGAGAACTTAGAACGAAATAAAATAGAAATAAATATTCACCTTATTGTAAGTTTTTCACCAGCTGTAGTTATTCCACGTAATTATCTGTTCCACAGTTTTCTTCAACCAACAATAAACACATTAAGCACATTTATAGAACACAACCACTATTTCCGAATTCGATTGTATTTCTTCGATTGCTCCCAGTGATCTTCTTTAGTTGCATGTAATTCAAACTATAAATCTTCAACATTTATGGATTCTTGATTATCTTGACAGGCAACACCGAACGCACTACTATCCGGGCTTTAATTGTATCGACACGATATATCATTTACATGGTAATCACACTTCAGCTACGGGCATCCAGCACGCGATATAAGCACTGCTTGCGCCACCACAACAAGACACACAGCCGCAGCACACACGCACTTAACAAACGTGCTCCCAATCACTCCAGTTTAGGGGTCATCCCCGATTGTGACCCTTTCATCCCCACGACGACGACGACGATGACGACAAACGACTGCAATTATCTTTACACCACAAATCCCACAACAGCTATAAAAACAACAACAACAACAACGACAATACACTGCCGGAGGCCAATCAAATCCGATTAAGGCATCAATCTTTGCCTCGCCTATCACGTCCCAGATGAGGCTGTTAGTGGAGCAATCTTCCCGAAACCGCGTCCGAACCGCGCCGCGCCAAGATAAAGACTGAACCCCGGAGTCCCGTCGACGGAGAGATTTAGTCTCGATTAACCGTAGTCGAGAGTTGATGTCGATCCCAGCAGCATCCAGCGTTCGATACCATCCTTCCAGTTGGTGCGTTTAACGGTGACTGAATTCGCGACGACGACGGCCAGCTATCCAACACACACGGGATTGTTACACAGCAGGCAGAAGCGCGCCAAAATTTCTGGACTGATCCGGCCCACTTGGCATACACACCTCGCGGAAGCCGGAATCGTGCTGCCGGTTGTAAGCAAGTGGTTATGGGAAAAGCGCATGCTCACCTCACCGAAAAGGGGAAGGGTTCGACTCTCGCGTGAATTTAATGAATGACTCTGAAAAGCACGTGGAATCACAGGCGATTTTCTCAATCAGTATCTGCTTGGAAGCCACCTGTTGAATACGGTTCATATGGGAATGATGTGGTGAATACCAGACATTGGAAATTAAGATTATCACTTCTAAGATAAGAGGTTGATGTTCTAGGTATAAGAGTTCAACCCAGCTGATCATTGTGTGGCAGCTGACAGGGAACATTAGAAGCAGGTCTAAGGCACTTGAAGGGTGGATTTGGAGGACATTGGGAATGGATTCCGCTCGGCAGATTGACCATTTCAGACCGTTTGTAAGATTCCAATCTTTGGCCTTATTTGGCGTTTTAGCGCCATTTTATCATTTATAAGCTATACCAGAATTATTTTTTCCTTTTTTTTTGATAATTGAATATCGTTTTTAACCTAATATTTGATAACCTAGTTTACCAGCGCTCTCTGATGAGCGTGTGCTCGGGAAATGTAGCACTCTCGATGCAATTATCGATCGAGTCTTCGATGTGCTCCTGTATCGTCTTGCACCCTGCGGTGCGATGCAGCTCGCTTATCCTCGTGTCGAATGGGGCATCCAGGTGAAACTAATGTTATGCCCGACAACAACTCAGCAGCACGAGATTCCTTGAACTGTGTCTCAGAATCGGCGCACTGCTGAGAAAACTGAAGGGGCTACGCGGATGGAAAGGCACTCAAGCTTTCAAATGAACTGAAGCACAGCGCGGATCAACTTAAACGCTGTGTTTTTTGACGTAGGTTATCTTTTTTTTAGTTCAAATGATCTTTATTTCAGTTCAACTTGGATGATTACCATATACATTTTTCTAAGTGATTTAATTGCCTTCTTAATCTTTAGGTATGGGCAAAATTCAAAATTTGTTTTACAGAATTAGTCCTAGACTTAGTACACGGTCGACCACCTTGGTGGGATTGATTCGTTTTGTTTTTAGAATTTGAGAAACTACTTAATACTACTATCTACAGCTTAAAACTAACCTACTCTACTATATACACGTAACCTACTATGTGCAAATTGCTTTTTAAAGCATGTTCAGAAAGATTGCATTTTTGGATGAATTTGGTTGTCATATCCTCAATTTTGGAATCTACTTTGGGAGGTGATGGAGGTCTGCTATTCTTGTGTCGAATGGACGATCTAGGATCATCCTCAACACTCTATTCTGTGCAACCTGGATTTTGTTCCTGTGGGTCTGAGCGCACGATTCCCACACCGGGGCGGCATAGAAGATCGCGGGGGCTATGATCTGTTTGTAAACAGCCAGTTTGTTTTGCCTTGAGAGGCGGGATCTGCGGCAAATGAGCGGATACAAACACCTAACCAAGGCGGAGCACTTAACTAGGGTTTTCTCTATGTGCGAACGGAACAGGAGCTTCTCATCGAACAACATCCCGAGATAAGTAACATCAGCGGCCCACTCGACCCTTGTACCATCCATTATTACGGTACAGGAGGGAGACGGTTTAAGTTTTGGCGATTGTCTGTGAAGGAACATGATCGCTTGGGTTTTCGAGGCGTTGATTTTGATTTTCCACGTGGTGGCATAATCAGTAAAGGTGTCAAGGCATCGTTGGAGCTTGTTCGTAATTTCACGAAGTATCCTACCCTTGACGGCTATCGCGGTGTCATCTGCGAACAGAAAGAACACGCAACCGTCTCCTAGAGGAGGGATGTCCAACGTGTAGATGCTGTAAAGCAGTGGTCCCAGCAGACTCCCTTGCGGAACACCTGCTGGGATCGGAAATTGTCCCGAAAGGGAACTATTCAACGACACCCTGAACGACCTTTGCTGGAGGTAGTTACGGGTGATTTTCACAAGGTATAGTGGAAAGTTGGAGTTACAAAGCTTGTATATAAGTCCGTCGTGCCAGACATTGTCAAACGCCTTTTCGACGTCTAACAAGGCCATGGCTGTGGACTTGGATACAGCTTTGTTACTCCGGATGTTATTCATCACCCGCACTAGCTGATGATTGGTGGAATGCCCCTTGCGGAACCCGAACTGTTCCGGAAGAAGAATGTCATGTTCCTCCACAAACTTGTTTAGTCGGCTGAGGATCAATTTTTCGAACAGCTTGCTCAGCGCTGAGAGCAGGCTAATCGGTCTGTAGCTTGACGGTAGTGAAGGGTCTTTCCCAGGTTTGCGGATCGGGATGATTTTTGCCACCTTCCAGATGCTTGGAAAGTAGTGCAGCTCCAAGCATCTGTTGAGGATGGCAGCCAGCAGCGAGTGCACCCTCGCGCTGAGATTTTTCAACTCTAGGTTGAATATTCCGTCAAACCCGGGAGCCTTCATGTTCGTACTGTGTTTCAGCGCTGAGCAAATTTGTTCCTCTGTAATCCGTTCTTCTGGAGGGACGGCACAAGGGGAGGCATCTAACGTCTGGACGCACTGCACAACCTGGTTCTCGAGTGGACTTGGGATTGTAGAGCCAAGCAAATGCGACTGGGCAATGTGCTCCCCAATTGCATTGGCCTTCTCTTCGTTGGTGATAAGCCGTTCGTCATTGACTCTAAGTGGTGGAATGGGCTTGGGGTGAGACTTCAGCACCTTGGCAACCTTCCAGAATGGTCTGGAACGGTCGTCCAGGTTCTGAACGAGCCGCCCGAAACTCTCGTTCCGGATTGAGACCATTCTGGAAGCGATCTGCCGATTCAGATCGACCATTTCGTATTTACGCTGCAGATCCCCAGTCCGCTGAAACTGGCGTCTACGAACATTTCTGAGCCGAATCAAGAGTTTGGTGTGGGAATCAATTGCTTGAAACTTACCCCTCACAGGAACTCGTTGAACGCACTCTTCGTCAGCCACGGATATGGCTTGATGGAGACCCTCCAGGGCCCGGTCGATGTCCTCCACTGTGTCGATGTGGCGGTCGACCACGCGTCGAAACTGGACCCAGTTGACTCGATGGTAGTCCTTCCGCTGGCACGGTGCAGGGGCCACGTTGTAGCCCAGCTCGGTCAGCACCGGTTGGTGGTCCGAACTCAGGTCGTTGACGGCAACCGGCTTGGCTAATCTGGTGTTTGCCAAGAACAGGTCCAGCGTCGATGGGTTGCCCGTCGGTGATGTGAAGGTTGGTTCGTCCGGAAACCAGACGGAATAGAGACCATGCTAGGAATGGTCGAATAGCAGGCGGCCGTTCTGGTTCTGCTGGTAGTTCCGCCAGGCCTCGTGCCGGGCGTTCAGGTCCCCTCCGATTACAAAGCGGGCATTGGTGTGGGTTATGATGGCAAGGTCGTTCTTGAACTGCTGTGCTGTACCATTGCTAACGGTACATTGCCGGGGGCAGTAGACAACGATGAACCGGACGTTTCCGGTCGATGTTTCCACCTCAACGCCGACGGCCTCGATGATGGAAGTGCGGTAGTGGGGTAGGGTGCAGTACTTGATGCCTTTCTTGATGATGACCGCGACACCGCCCCCCCTGGAGCTGGTGCGATCAAGCCGGACAATGCTGTGGTCGGGCAGCCAGAAGCTGTCACCGGTCTTGAGGTGAGTCTCGGTGAGAAGGCCCACGTTGATGTCGTGCTTGCGGAGGAAGTCTGCAAGCTCAATGTTTTTCGCCCCTACGGAGCGAGCGTTCCAGTTGGCGATCTTTATGGGTTCACGGTCCATAATTAGCGACAAAGGAGATGATAGCTTGGAGCTGTTGTGTTCTTGTTGCGCAGGTGCGCTTGATGATGATGGCCTGGGCCAACAGTGTGACGATCTCATCCGTTGACAGCGGAGAATCGTCTGTAGCTTCACCGGTTGTACCGGCCAATCCCGGAGCAGGGGGATCCGTCGATGGCCCGGAGGCTTGACCGGGAACTGCAGCGGCAGCCAACTGTTGGTTGAGCGGGAGCGGCGGCAACACTGGAATTGGCCGTGATTGGACCGGTGATAACGGAGGAAAGTTCTGCGCGTTGTTTTCTGGAACCTTCTTGCGACCGGGCTGGCTGTTGGACGAGGCCTTCTTCCGGATCTCGGCGTATTCGGCCCGCTTCGGACAGGCCTTACTCGTGGCCTTGTGGGCGGCACCGCAGTTGGCGCATGTGGGAGTGGCTTCCTCGATGCTGTCGCAGTTGTCGATCTTGTGGTTTTTGCCGCATTTGATGCAGCGGCTGGCCATGCGGCAATTCCTGGTGCCGTGCCCGAACAATAGGCAGTTCGAGCACTGAGTGACGCCACGGTGGGTCGGCTTATACCGCTCCCACTTCACTACGATGTGGAAGAGTGTGCGTGTCGTCTGGAGATCCTTCACGGTTGTGGAGTTCTTCTCCAGATGGACCAGGTAGAGCTGGTCACGATACTTGATGGCCTTGCTGCGGGTCATCTTGTGGACTTCGACCGGCTTGAGGCCGTTCGCCTTAATCGCGTCCATTAAGGTGGTGGTGTCCATGTCGTGGAGCCCACGCAGCACCACTTTCAGCGGCTTGGTGGCCTCGATGTCGTGGGAGAAGTACTCCAGCTTCATCCTGTCCAAGAGGGCCTGAACTGCGTTGAAGTGTTTTTCGGCCGGGACCATCAGTTTGTAGCCTTCCGTGCACCGTTGAATGGTGCAGCGAAGGCCCTGCTTAATGTAGAAATCCAGCTGCTCCCATAGCCCGGGAGGGAAGCCCTTCACATAGAAGGGTGGCAACTTAACTTTTTTCGGCACCGTCTCAGGGTCCGACTGCGGCTGGGCTCCGTTCTGCAGGGCC